AAAAAAAAAAAAAAAAAAAAAAAAAAAAAAAAACATGCATCGGGTGATGTGGGCTTGGTCGGATAAGGATGTTTCATCAGAATTATTTGTTTTCGGAAAGGAATGGCAAAAGGGCTTGGGTTAAATAAATAGTTTAAGACAATGTAAACAGTTCACAAAAACTTTAAGGTATTTTAAAATACCAAAATAATAAAGAAGAAGACTAAAAAGTAACAGAATATTAATATTTTTTAATTAATAAAAAGAAAACCAAATATACTATAAATAAATAAAAAGAGTGCTGCCCAAGATGGTTTGAAACAAATGAAGAACACGTTGGGCAAGCGCCAGGCTCTGGTCATGACCGCATCAAGTCCGCTCAGTTTAACAAGACAAGCTGGTTGTTGGCGTGATGGATCCATGTTTTGTAAAAATTTTCACGCTTGGCCCATTCCAATGCTTTCAGCCCATGACGCGGTCTAAGTTATGCTACCTGTGACTTTTAGACCTTCTTTCTTTCTTTTTTTATGGAATCTAATTTTAGCTACAAACTTATAAATTTTATCAATTAGATATACAAAAAAATTCCTACATTTTCCCATTCCTTTTAATAGTTTATTTCTAATTTTCATATTTTATGCGCTAAAATGAAGTTAATTTAAAGAGATTTTGACATAAAATTGATGAATATTAACATTTTTGGTCTAATGTACACAATTATGCACTCAAAAGATATTAATTTAAAGTAAAAATATATAATTTATTTGAGAATAAGAAGCATCTGTACAAAAATGAAGTATAAATTAACCATTTATTTATCTTAATCCCTTTTAATTCTGAAAAATAATTTAATTGGTTAAATTTTAAATTTATTTATAAAAAATTATGAGTTTGAGTACTTTTAAGATTATTGAAATTTTATATAATTATTAATTTTAAAGCCTGTAAAATTAATTAAGATATATATAAATTAATTAAAACATTTATATTAATAAAAAAAAACGTCAAGTAGCTTTGCAGTATTTTTTTTTCCTGTGATATCTTTAAAACAAACTATGAAAACTCGTTTATTTTACTGTCTTACCTTCAAAACAATACAAACTGAGTAACAAATTTTAAAAACTTTTGTAGAAAGAAAAGGAGCACTCAAAATTGATTGTTACATCATTAGCTTATAATTTAGAAGCTAGATCGACTTTGCCTGGGTCACTAAACATAGCTTGGGTATGGGGTCTCGCACAAGAGGACCTTTTTTGGAGCTTCCGAGGGTTGAGCTAGGATTTACCTTCTTTTTTTTATATAGCTATTGGTTATTATCTTCTTGAAAACAATAATAATAAATAAGATAAGATTAAAAAAAAAAGATTAAGATAAAATTATATTTAATAACATGTGTATTTTCTAGTAGTGTTTAATTAACTTGTATCAATTCTTTCAACATGTAACCCAAATCTTGTCTCTTTCAATTCCCAACTCAAGTTTTTAAAATTATAATAATAATTTTTATTATTACAATAATTAAGGTCAACTTAGGTCTTAACTTGAAGCTTTATACTAAATCAATTTTTGAAGTTGTAATAATTATTTTTATTTTTATATATTTTAATTGAATAATTTTAAAATTAAAAGTTTTTTATAATAATATTTTAAAAATAAAAAAATATTATCTTTGATGGCTTGTCTCCTTTGTACCTCATGTTTTAAAAATATTAAAATTTATTCTAAAACTATATATTCAACCAAATTCATTTTTATATCACTGTATATTCAACAAAATTTATTTTTATTTTTATTGTTTTTGTTTTTTTAATTATAGAACATCAAACGCTCGCCTGCTAACCCAAGTTTGCACCAAAAAAAAAAAGCAAAAAATCATGTAGGCAACCAAAAAAAAATTAAATGTTAGAAACTACATTGATGTATATTTTTTGTTTTTAATTCATAAGAGGCCCTTCAAATCTTTGACAGCCATCCCTCGGGGCTTTTATATCTGTATCTGGATCCCATCCAAAATTAATCTTCTATTTTAAAGTTTTGGCTATCGCGAAAGATATTTTTTGGTCGATGGCTGTGATTCACTCTTCTCTGCTCAATGGGATCAGTGAGATCCCCTCCCCTCGTACAAATCCGATTGACGAGCACATCCATCACGTAACCTAGCCGGTGACAGCGATTTATCAGCGGGAC